TCGTTGAGATTTGGATTTGGGTCACATAAATACGCACCCGAATTTAGGAAAGTAATATTATTAAACACGCGCCTAAAGCAACTACGCGTTTGCACTTTGCGAGGGCCGTGGAATTTGCTAAATGGCACGCCTCGAAATTTAAGGATCAATTCAAGATCAAATAAAGCGAGGGCCATGCAATTGAAATTTTATTTATTTTAAGACTCCATTTCAGCTTTTATTAAATTACTAAATAATTTTAAGCTTAACACTAAATGTTCTTTCGTGAAACGAGATATCAGAACAATGTAAAGCTAGCAACATATATCAAATAAAGCATAGAATGTTAACACACACGTGATTGATAAAAATGAATTTCCTTTAAAACATTGACCCATTTACGTTATAAGTCTAACATGGACTTGTCAAATAATATTAGCCTAAAGACATAGATGGAAGACTTTACATTTTAGTTACTTCTAAAATTAATCCCGATCAAACAAACAGAAACAAACTAAAGAAGAAAAAGGTAACAAAATTTAAATTGATCTAAAACTAAAAAAAAAATAGAAGCATTGTAAGAAATAATTAGAAGATTAAAAGAACGAATCCCTCATTGATAGATTTCTAACCTTTGTTGCGTACAGAGAAAACAAGAATTTCAGTTTTGGAAACAGAAACCACGCTACGACGTTCCACCCCAAACACGCAGACCGGAGACCTCAACAAAACATATCCCAAACCGGCGACCACGGACAGAACCGGAGACCAACAACTAACAACGACATCAACGCTCGCCGGAAAGCTCAGACTACATCAGAAAACAAACCGGACCAGCTCCATGACAGTAGCTCCTAATCTGGAGTTGTTTCTTGGCTAAAGCTCAATCCATGGAGGGAGATGGTAGGGTCGTTCGCTGGCTCTCCACTGGAGAAGAAGAAGCAAAACGACGGGTTCCTCTTAGGTCTTAACAGAAGGGGTCGTTCAGGTTGCTTGGCCTGGAGAATTGCGGCTGCTCCCTTTTTTTAAGCGTATTTTTGTATATCGGGTCCCTCTTTATTTTAGGTGTAGGTACTATTATATAGGGGTAGGGATTAGGGTTATATTTTGTGTATTTTGTCAATTAGTCCCTAGGTCTTTTGTGTTAAGTCCTTAAGGTTTTTTTATTTATTTTTATCCCAAAGAAGAGTCCAGAAAGGTCCCTAGGCTTAATGGACTAATCCAAATTGGGCCAAGAACTGGGTTCTAACACTCTTAAAATTGTGATCCAACACCTTAATTGACTCCCTTTAAAATAAGATAAAAATACTACACAACGCAAAAGCTAACATGAAACTATTATATATTTTTTGTATTTTCAAGATTATGTAGAGATAAAAATAAAGTACTATTTTTGTATTATTTTTTTTTATTTATTTAAATTTATGAAAGATACGTAAGCTAATATATATTTTTTGTAATTTTCCATTTTCTTGTAATAAAAATAAAATAAAATAGTAAAAATTAGTTAAAATGGCGATATTAGGCCTAAACTAAATATTTACACGCTAAAAATGGGTAGAATTTCGGGGAGGGTCAAAAATCACATGTCAACAATCACTACCGCTGATGACTCCATCTCCTTCTTTTGCGTTTAAATTTCCAGGTACATGTCCTGACTTTGAAGCAATGTGAATGTCCAGTTGAAAGATGAAATAAAACTTGCGGCCTGATTTTGTTATAAATTTTGTTGTGATTTGTTAATGTTCTTATTGTAAATGGATTTGAACTGTTAGGCCTGTTAATAGACTGTACTGGACTGTTCTAATTGGACTATATAAATTGCTGTCTTTTAATTGTTTATCTCTGCTTGGAGTTCAATTAGGAGGTATAGTTAAGTGCAGAAACGGTTGGAATTATCAATGTCACTATGTCTTGGCATATATAATGCACTTACTGCCAAACAAACATAATCTGGATTTCAGATATAACTTAAAGGCTCCTCCTGAATATAACAAGTCATACGCTGCTACCACTGTGTTTCAATGGCTGTTTTTATTTGCTAATTTTGTCCATTCACTTGTTAGTTATCTTACATGTTAAATCACCATTAGTTGGCACTAGATGTCGCAATAATAATTGGACCCTGATTTACAGTATGTGCACACCAACATTATTGTTTAGTTCTGCCCTAATTCATGTTATTGGGCCAAAACTGGGCCCAACGTTTGGCCCAGCTACTCAATAGGAAATCAAGTGCATTTGTTTTCAGATCGGGCTGGACGTTAATAAGGCCCAAATCGCAGGGCAGTTTCATTTTAATCGGAATTGGGCTAATTGTTGAAGCCCAAAAATGCTGAAGGTTGGGATTTATATTAAGATTACGGGATTAAATTTATAACACAGGTTTTGGGCCTCCTAGTTAAGTAGCATGCTTGAGTTAAGAGGTCTGCCTTTTGTTCAAGTGTGGACTTGAACTTGAGGCCCAAATTCCTTGATCACTTTAAATAATAGCAATCGATAATATTAATTAACTAGGGCATTTTAGAGACAAATTCAATAGAAAATTAAAGTTTGCTCTAGGACGGCCTTTAAATAATTAAATGAGGTGAGCCACGCCAAATAAAACCCATATATTGTGTGGCCCTCTTTAAACGCTTATATTAAAATACTTAGAATTCGGGACGTGCTGTTTAGCGAATTTCACGGCCTCCCGCAAAGATAATAACACGTTAGTCGCTTTAGGCGCGCTTTTTAATAATTTTACATTCCTAAACTCGGGTGTGCATTTCATGCGACCCAAATCCAAATCCCAAAATGTTGAATAAAATGTGTCGAGGATCCAGGTGCATTTCATGTGACGTGATCCAAAAACATGTTTTAAACGAAGTTCAATTTCTTAAAATTTTTATTAAAAGCGGTAAGTAATTTTTAAAATTGCACAATAGGATAACATGTATTAAAAAGATTTTAGCCAAATATAGCAGTTGAGCGACCGTGCTAGAACCACGGAACTCGGGAGTGCCTAACCCCTTCTCCCGGGTTAACAGAATTCCTTACCCGGATTTCTGGTTTGCGACTATTAAACAGAGTCAAACCCTTTCCTCGATTCGGGATTCGAACCGGTGACTTGGGACACCATAAATCTCCCAAGTGGCGACTCTGAATCTCTTAATAAAATGAATCCCGTTTCGATTGTCCTTTAATTGGAAAAACTCCCTTTATTATACCCTTTACGGGGTGTAGTTGTGAAAAAAGGAGGTGTGACAGTGTCTTTCGGAAAGTTTTGGCCAACTCCGGCGAAGCCACAGATGTGGCTCTGATACCATGTAATTAACAAGGTATGGAAGAATCAAATTGGTATCTTATTCCATGTAGTGATACATATATATACATGTACATCAGGTGCTAACTAAGGAAAGAAATAAAAGAGATTCCTACAAATCTGCTATCTATATATGGGTTATGTACACTACTAAGAAACAATCTATGTTCATCGTGTAAAGTGTCTAGGTTCATTCTGCAACAACGTACATTATTTTTGTCTTTTTAGAGCCCGTTTGGATTGGCTTAAAAAAAGTGGCTTTTAAGCACAAGTGCTTAAAAGCAACTTTTAAGTGCTGGAGCTTATTTTATAAATAAGTAGTTACATGTTTGGATAAAAGTGTTGAAGCTTAAAAAAAGCTGTTGAAGTGTTTGGCAAACAAGTGGTGGTAAGCACTTTTTCTTATTAAAAAGACAAAATATCCTTAAAGCTGTTAGAGACAGAAATGGCTGAGAAGGGGTGAACAGATGCGTAGAGAACACTGGTTCCTTTTCTTCCAAACATTCCTTCCTCTTGAGGAACTGAGTAGAAAAGAAGTGCAAAAAAGAATAGGGATTTAGAGCTCGAGGAGGAGTTCTTCTTTCTGACCCAAAAAATAGTGAAAGATGTATGGGGTGACCCGAATTACGGCGACCCAAGCTCCGAAAAGGGCGACGTAAGTCTTCAGCTGCTTGAGAGCAGCTGCTTTGTCAGGTTTACGCATGAACAATCCTGGAAACATGGTTTGGTCGTTTGCAAGATTTCTCCTTTGAGAGGAGAATGGAGATGAAACTGGGCATGGTTTTGTTGATTTCTACTGAATTGCTTGAAGAAAAGTACAGAAAATGAAGAAGAAGAGGAAAGAAGAGGGTAATTTTGGTATTATATAAACTTACAAGGGCAAGAGAGTAATTTTATTGGTCAAACTAAAATGGCTTTTAAGCCAAAATCAAAAAAGTTGGGGTCAACCAACTTGTTGCTTTTGGCTTTTTTTAAGCACTTTTTAGCTTTTTTTAAGCATCTTTTTTTGTTGCCAAACACTCCAAAAAATAAAAAAGTGCTTAAAAGCTGGTCAAACCAGCTTTTAAGCCCATCCAAACACCCTCTAAGTATTAAAGACCAGCCATGAAGATTACAGTGGTAGCGCCTCTATTAGTGTTTGCTGGAACAACATTGCTATACAGGGGCGGAGACACGTTAAGCCATGCGGTGTCATCCGACACCACTTGGCTGGAAATTTTATTTATTTATATATATGTAAATAATCTGCAAAAGTTGTCTAGTTTCTACTTGTGGGTCAAACGTTCAATTCCCCACCATGTTAACAACTTTTTTCTAAATTTTTTAGTATTCCTCTGGAAACATTTAGAAAGAAGCAGTGTCCATTATGCACATATCACTGCCAAGAATAAACAATTCTAATATACAAACTCCATACCTAAAAAGGAGTAATTGAACAAAGTGAGGCCATGAAATTGATTAAAACAGACTTATGGATTCGAATGGATAATGAGGAGTATTGAGTAAATGTTTGCTGCCTTATACGGGAAAAAATTAGTAATATTTGTACTAAGTCTATTATGAATACATTTTAAAAAATGAAAACTCGTCGGGAAGAGTTGTACTAATGTATTTGAGTTGTGTTTTTCTAAAATATGATTTTTGTATGTGTCAGAATCCGACCCCACGATAATTAACGAGGCTAATCCCGTTTTAAGTTAATTCATGATTAATTAGTGGTACGACCTCTCAGAACTGACGATGTTCAACCCGCATCCGGCTAGATCAGCAGGGCCATGGCCTGTCCGCCACCATAAAGGCGAGATCCCAACGTGGTCACGGCCACTTATTGCCAGCTCACGAAGCCCACAGCTATAAATACTAAGAGTAGAAGCCCTAGAAGGGGGGGGGGGGCTGCTTCTTCACCACTATAGACAGGAGAGAGAAGGGAAAAATATACCCATCCTATGGGAGGAGAAAACACCATTGTAAGGCTCTGAACCTCTTCATGGAGAGGCAGACCAAACAAATATTATCAATAAAGGTTTCGAATGTTTCTCCCCCTAATTCTGAGTACTTACTTTCGTTTCTTTCATTTGGTCCAACGGATTATTACGATTTACTATGATTTTTCCGTGATTATTTGTATTGTTTTGCATTCATAAGATATGTAATAACTTTTGAGCAAACAATTTGGCCACGAGCCTTCGCCGTCAAAATCAGCAAAGTTCAACAACGGTTGAACCGGGACTCAGGCTATGCGCCTTCGCCATTATATCAAGGCTATGCGCCTTCGTCAAAAAAGTTCAACTACGGTTGAACCAAGACAGGCTACGCGCCTTCACCAGAAAGTTCAACTACGGTTGAACCGGGACTCAGGCCACGAGCCTTCGCCGTCAAAATCGACTAAGTTCAACAATGGTTGAACCGGGACTCAGGCCATGAGCCTTCGCCGTCAAAATCGACTAAGTTCAACAACAGTTGAACCGGGACTCAGGCTATGCGCCTTCGCCATTATATCAAGGCTATGCGCCTTCGTCAAAAAATTCAACTACGTTGACCAAGCAGGAGTCNCACTCAGAACTGACGATGTTCAACCCGCATCCGGCTAGATCAGCAGGGCCATGGCCTGTCCGCCACCATAAAGGCGAGATCCCAACGTGGTCACGCCCACTTATTGCCAGCTCACGAAGCCCACAGCTATAAATACTAAGAGTAGAAGCCCTAGAGTGGGGGGGGGGGGGGCTGCTTCTTCACCACTATAGACAGGAGAGAGAAGGGACAAATATACCCATCCTATGGGAGGTACCATTGTAAGGCTCTGAACCTCTTCATGGAGAGGCAGACCAAACAAATATTATCAATAAAGGTTTCGAATGTTTCTCCCCCTAATTCTGAGTACTTACTTTCGTTTCTTTCATTTGGTCCAACGGATTATTACGATTTGCTATGATTTTCCCGTGATTATTTGTATTGTTTTGCATTCATAAAATATGTAATAACTTTTGAGCAAACAATTTTATTAAAGTGAAACACATCTCTAAATTTCCACACGGCTTACGAAATTTTTTTGTGTACGCCGCCCCTGCAGCTATACATTGAATCTGATTGCGAAACATATACTGTTCTGGAGGAAACTGCAAAGCGCGAAAAAGATCGCAATATTGAACCTGTACCAGAGGCACAACGAAATAATGCAAAGGATCTTGAGGGCAAAAAATGTTGCAGATAAACGGGTGCTGCAAGAACCTGCTGCTAACGGAAATAACCAAAGTGATGCTGAGAATATCGGCAACTTTAAAGCTTTACGCAGTCCTTCTGGTTTATCCACTGAGAATCGTCGTAGTTTCAATGACGAAAACCGGCCTCATTCCAAGTAGATGAGATTTACAGTAAACTCTAAAGCATGTTAAAAAGCGTAAACTGGATGATCCATATATACACATACATGTTACTCTAGTTCTGGTTTGTTACTTAAAGAGTTTCACTTACATGTTGAGGTGTGCCTAATACCAATATGTAATGTGTTTGCCCAATCAGCCTTGGGGTGTTCTAATTAGTATTTCATTGTCACAAGGTGTTCTAGTTACCAGTATATACTTAATTCTCTGTTCTTAAAAATAACAAAAAATGAAGGCAAACATGTATACTAGTTTTATGGGCCCTTTCATTGTTCAATACCAATTATTTTATGAAGTTTTGGACTTTAAGGGACACTTAGTTCAGTAGCTGCTGCAAGCTTTTGTTAATCCTGGATCATGGAAGTGACATGTAAACTAGAAACAATATGTGAAATACAGATTCCTGCCGATAAAAATAGCTTTTACATATAAAGTTTATACACAGCTTGTAGATGCAAAAGTGGGTATTGCTTTATACAAAATCTGTGGAAAGTGGAAACTTCCCTCAACTAGAAGAGCACATGGACCCTTAATTACAGGCACCAATATGCAATTTTCAAGTGCCTTTCTCTAGAACTAGAAACACTGCTTCTTCACATGCTAATTTTAAATTTCCAAAGACAAAAAGCTATACATCCTCAAAACACCATGCTAAGGTTCTGAGCTATACATCCTCAGATAGAAAGCTATACATACCTTACAAAAACCACTAAGCAGTAACACGCCCTTATCAAAAGCTGCTAGCAGAAGACTCCACAGCACATATGATTTTGCCTCAACTACGTAAAACAGCCCCAATTATCCATCTGAAATATAGGGTCACTTTGGTTAGCATTCTCCAACATTTGTACCGTGGACTCAATCAACGATTCATCGGGGACAATGTCGCTTCCAGCATCAGTTTGCAAAGTCACATAGTACGCGTTATCAGTTTCTGGTGGTGCACCAAAGTTGATAAAACTAAGGGCTGAACTGCTGTAAGAGTTTTGATCCTTTACAGTTTCCTTCTTCGTACGCTGTTTATAAGCAGACATTTCTCTGTAATATCTTTCCCTGTCCTTGTTACTTGCCTCGATATAAGGCTGCAAAAAATTGAAGTAAGGAAGCAATCAACAAGGATAGAAGCTTTACTCTCCACTTGTTACATGAAGCAATTTAAATTTGTGCATGTTAAAATATAAGAAAGAAACATGAATGATTAATCGACAAACAAAGTACATAAAAGGCCAAATATGAGAAATAGATTAGGGGGTGATTAAAGCTGCTAGCAACAGTATGATAAGTACTTCATTGTACCTTTCGGTCATTTTCAGATAGAGCCCTCCAACTACTGATTGCCATTTCTCTTATTTTCTTAGCACCAGAACTCTCCCCAAGTACTTTCTTTAGTCTTTCACATTCCAACTTGAGGTATATCTGATATCCACTCCTTGTTCTTGTTGGGGCACTGGGGTCTTTCTTCAGATAAGTGTTGGTTGCTGAAACCTGAGATTTTTGCTCTGGTGTCTCTGGCCCTACTAAAAGATAAATTTATGATCAACTTGAGTCTTGACCAAAGCAAAAATGAAGTCGTCCGGAGGAAACAAACTCAATAATTGGACGGGCTTATAACTTTAAGATAACTGCAAGAACTAGTATCAATTCCATGACTTTGCAAAGTAATTTTTGTTGCAAGAACTAGTGAGAAGAAACCTATCTCCAACAAATAGCATACAGCTGAATAGGACACGTACTTAAAATAGTACCTGTTGTTGCAGATTATCAATGCCTTCCAAACGAAAGCAAATCTAATTTTCTACTGTATCGCGCTAACGATTAGTTTTGATGCCATTGTCTTGCATAACATTCATTCATTAAATAACTGAATTGTGTGTCTCACTTTTCATCTATTTTACCCACTCTTTCCTCTTCTTTTCTCCTTTTCTTTTCTTTTAAATCTTCAGCATTTACATCATATGCAACAGAAGAGACGACTACGGGTGAGAGAAGAGTAGATAAAGTAACTGCAGCATAACAGATCACCAGCCTATATTTTCTTTTTTTTGAGGTGTGACTTGTGAGGTTGGTGGAGGAATTTCCTTCTCAGTGGAAAAGATCATCCAAGAAAAATCCATGTCACTTCTGAGGTTTTGAGATATTTAACGTTTCAGCAATGGATAAAGTTTGTTCTAAAAGCTTCCCCGAGGGAAAACCTGTAACAGCTTTGTATGTCCAGTGTTTGGCTCAAAAGATACTGATTACTTTATAAGCGAAAAAACAATTAAAATGAATCACAGGTAAATCGTAATCGAATATAATGAGACCTAGAAATATGTATTATGCTTGTTATTGCTTCAACAACTTGGATATTCGAGAGAGAAAGGAGTGCTTGTTTAGAGAGAGAGAGAAATAGAGAGAGAGAAAAAGAGTTTGTTATTCAAAGATCAGATGCCTTTACAACATTGGGATCCTCCTTTATATAACAGGTGAACTCCCTTGAAACAATAAAATAATGCAGAGATAGGTCACGTGCTTTCGAGGAGACGACGAGACCCAAAGGCACGTTTCACCCCGACATTCTTAGGTCGTACCCTCGTTTCGACTATTGCTTAGTCGCGGGTCGTTGCTACCGTAGTGGGCAGAATTTGACCCCGTACATCCAGCAAGGTATAACTGAAGATAATCATTTTCTTTGTCTAAAGAAGTCTTTATTTTGAAAAGTTTATGACAAGTCCACACATATTCTTATAATTTACATAATTAGAAATTTATTAATTCTTTTCACAAAGTCTTTTAGACAAATATAGTAATTCACTTCACGTTAACTCTCCATAAGTGACCAATGTTGGAGAGTTAGCATGAGTGTATGTTGATGGTTCAAATTATCGACTTTCTTCGAATCTGACATTTTGATGAGAAGTTTGGAAGCTTATAGAACTGTAAGTCTCTGTGGTAAAGAAGAATAACAAACCTGTTGAAACTGGACAACACTCATTAGTGCACTTCCTTTTTTCTACTGGACTGTTCCTGTCATCGGAGTGTGGTAACACCACAGGAGATGACCAATCACAATATTTCCTTTTCCCCGCTGAGTCATCTATGCTATCCCCAGAACCTAAAGAAAGATTATAATCTTCAAACAAAGAAGAGAGTTATCAACAACTAGTCGTACTGGACTAAGGATTAAAAAGTTCAACTTCTAGAAACCATAGGCCCCCAAACTTTCAAGAACAAAGTTTACCTTTTAATGATACTGCCCTAGCAGCACCAGAAACTTGATGACTAGGTGGTGGTATAGTTGCTTTTCCTCGACTTCGATAGTAATACATTTGCTCAAATTGGAGAAGAAGATTTTCGTAGACCTTCTGAAGTTGAGTCGGGAACATTACGACGTTGCTTTTCACATGCAAATAAGATGCAACTTCACCCCACTTGGCATCCTTAGTAACCTACTCATTGTAAATCAAGTAAACTCATACTAATTGTGGGAATGTCACATGCATATCCACATTCAGTGCCATAGGGGCTTCATTTCATCTACTTCAGTTAGAAACTCATATGATCTGAGACTTAATTGATAGTGGGGCCATGTCACTGACATTTTCAGCCGTACCTCTTGAACACAATTCTCGGCTGAATGAACTATGATACAGTGAATAACATAATGTTACAGTAGACAACTCTTTTTCGAAAAAAAAACAAGGGCAACAAGTTTTTGGAACTCATTTCAATAATTCCAATATGTTTTCCCCTTAACCAACTCTTTCCAGAAATTACTTACCAGATAGGGAAAACTAAGGTATAAAGCAATTAGATATCAGCAACCAGTAGCGGACCCAAAATTTTAAAACATGCGTGCTCAATTACTTTTAATCCGAAGTTGCTACTGAGATTGGGTGCTCAGACAATCTATTTGTACACATTACTAGTTTCCTATATAAATAAATAGTGTTTGGGTCCAAAGCATCGTGCACTGATAGAGTTCGTCGTTGTCGGAAACACAGAATTATAAGTAACTATTTGAGAAGGCCCAATCATAAGTGACTATTGACTACAGCGCATATGCTCCACCTGCCTACTCTTTGCAGACTACTTTGCAGTGTAATATAGAAAACTATATCCATCAATATAGTTTGTAAATGATTTCAAATCATACTTAAATTTTGAGAAAAATATTCCTGGTTATTTCATGGATCTAAGAATACTGAGTCATGAATCATCTTCTGATGTGGCAACCTGGGGAACTAAATAAATAGAGACTAAGTATGCTAAAACTGCACTCAATTTCCAAGGACATGATCGAAGATCATATCATAAAACATTGACACAATGAAGGTAATCTTTTTCCTGGAGCAAAATGAACACCACGCCCCAATTTTATTTAAGTGATTAGCAGTAGACCAACACATGCATATGTGGGAAAAGTAATCATGGGTTGTTGGTATTGAGATAAACTAATTCACATAACAATAAAGTGGGAAATTTAAGAACTACCTGATTAAATCCACCTCTTTTAGTGACTTCTTCATAGAAAAGATACAAATCCAAGGCTGTTTCTCTAAAGTTAAATCTGCATATATATAAAAGTAACTTCCCTTTAGGAAAAATTCACCCTCTCAGCTATGTTGTGCCCATGTCGTATCCTCCAAAAATACACTATTTTGGAGGATCCGACACGCACCAGGTGACATTTTGGGAGAGACCGAGCAACATAGCCTCTCAACCAACTTTCAAGTTTCAATTTGCTAGCCACAAAAATTAATAGTACAAGATAGTACTGCAAATTACACCATTTCAAAATCAAAAGTCAAAAGGCTCTATCTAATGTTTGTGATTACCTAATTAGAGCAACTTATATTGGTCAAACGACTATCAGACCTATTTCTGATTTGCATGCAATTAAATCTTTATTCCTCATCAACTAATTCTACAAAATTTAATACTGTCCTCTCAAAAGCATTTCATATATTCCACAATGAATAATGTGCTAATAAAGTATCCAACAGAGCTTGCTAGTCATGACAATTAATTTCCATGAATATACATTGCATGATATAGTGAAGCCATTATTCTTAGGAGTAAAACTTGTTCTCTGTCTATTATTAACACATTCTTGTCTCATTTTCTGGACCATAATTAAGAAATGTTTAAATTAGTAATCTTAATTAAACACTCCACCAAAGAGAAAAAGCTTGAGAAATTGTAAGGAAACCTCACATAAGACTAAGTCCTGAGGACTCGTTCAACTTGTTAAGCTTTTCGTAGAAACCATCCTTTCCATTATAGGAACTCTGCATTGCCGATACATTGCCGGTAACTACAGGCGACCAGAAGCTACATGCATAATTACTTCCGGCACCGGAATACTTATTCTTCTCCGTTATAATGGTCTTATTCTTCTTGTTTTTCTGATCCTCTGCCGCCATGCTGAGAAAATGCACAGTAACAGAGAAACACACTTTCATTCCTCCATTTTCCAATGCGACTGTGCTTTTATTTTATGGGGTTGGTTCATCACACACGAGTCTCGTCAACTTAACTCTCTGTGGCCCCACTGTTGTCTGACGTGGTAATATTTGTGGGGCCTTTTGATGGTTCTTTGCTGTCAAGGAGGTGTACGTGTGTCATCCATGCAAAGTGGTGAAGATATCCACCGTTTATAGTGGGATTCAATCACAATCTCAGCCGTTGTTAAATCCATATTGTCTCGTATTTTTCTGTGATTTTGGAATTTTAAGTTTTAATTTATTAATTCGACAAAGATCGAGTTTTCTACAAAATAATACTTTATGTTTGGGGTAATACCGGAAAATTTTATTTTGTGCCTCATATAACTGACATCAGTTGTATGAGGCAACTTTTTTGTCTCGCAGTGTTGTGGACCCAAATTTCTATGGACCCAGAAGTGTAAGATTGGGGTCCACAAATTTGTGAGACAAAAAAGAACCTGTGTGAGACACAAAATAAAACTTCTCGGTAATACCTAATATGATCCTCTAAATATAACCTTGAGCATTTTTTATCCTTTAATTTGTAAAATTTTAGCACGGATAGTCCAACTAATTAACAGAATAGACCAAACAAATGATGAATACATAAGAAAACTTAATTTCACGTGACATACACATTAGATGTTCATAGGCTTTCCCAAAGCTTTGTTTTCTTCCTCTATGCGAGCAAGTTTTTCTCAGCTCTGCTTTCTCTCCTGCGACCACATCAAATGCCTCTATTAGGGGTGGCACAAGCTAGAAAAATACTTAGTGACATTTTGCAAATTGTGTCAAAGGGATCATATAAGCGATTGATGAAAGCTAAAAAATAAATCAAATGAGAAAAAAATGCAAGAAAAATATGAGTGCGGCAACGAAGGATCATACATTTTTCTATTTCATGTGTTAATTATATCACAAAAAGTGAAGGCACTTTCATTCCATTCATGTGAGCCTTTATTACCTTTTTCCAATAATTTTGCTCATGATTTTAGTTGATTAAGTCGTATATCATAGATATTACTACTTTAAATATAAGAGCGAGCTCGAATTTGTTTAGTAAGTACAAAACTACTGCTGATTGTTTGTGATAGTTTTGTATGAGAAGCATCTTCAATCATATAGTATCCAAATTCCAACAACTCCCATAATAATAAATGTCAAAGAGGGTGAATTCCTTTTCTATTTTAAACTCTAAATTCCTCTCATTCAGTAGCTTAGGTTTGTTTCGGAAACCAATAATGACAAACAATAGGTAAGTACTACTCTTTGCTCAAAAGTTATTAATACCTTATGAGTATAAAACAATACGAATAAATCACGGGAAAATCATAGCAAACGGTAATAATCCGTTGGACCAAATGAAAGAAACGAAAATAAGTACTCAGGATTAGGGGGAGAAACATTAGAAGCCTTTATTGATAATATTGGTTTGGTCTGCCTCTCCATGAAGAGGTTCAGAGCCTTACAATGGTGTTCCTCTTGCCCATAATTTGGGTATCGTTGTCTCTTTTTTCTCTCTCAATCGTGGCCCAGAAGAAGCCTCCTTTTTCTAGGGTTCCCTCTCTTGGTATTTATAGCTGTGAGCTTCGTGAGCTGGCAATAAGTGGCCGTGACCACATTGGGATTTCGCCTTTATGGTGGCGGATAGGCCATGGCCTTGCTGATCAAACCAGATGCGGGTTGAATATCGTTAATTCTGAGTGATCGTGCCACTAATTAATCATGACTTAGCTTAAGACGGGATTAGCCTCGTTAATTATCGTGGGGTCGGATTCTGACCCATACAGTTAGTCCCTCCGCTTATTGAGGTCGGGCTTGCTCGATGAGTGGATTCCATTGACTGTAGTTTGAGAAACTCGGATGGGGATGTCGACTGTTGCTTCGGTCGAGGCCGAATTCTTTTTGGCGATGACCCTTAGCCTTGTAGAGTATTAGTATCCTGTTACTGGGCTATCAAGTCATCGTTCGATCGAGGTCGAACTCTCCTCCTGGGCGAAGACGCTTGACCTTTTAACTTATTTCGAGTGAGGTCGAGCTGCATTGTGCTCTGATCCTTACGTTTGTTTTGGGTGCATACCCGTCGACCATGGCGGACGGGTCGTATGTTGTGCGGCCGAGGGGAATGAGGGCACGCTTGATACGTGCTTGGCGGTGTCAAAAAATTTCTAGGGAGCAAGGAGCACCTCCTCGGCATTCATAGGTCGTTATAACCGTTTCGAGGGCGAGACGCCGACGGGTGATTGCAAGGCTGCTTTATGGAGCATGTCATAATGACGCACATTCCTATGGAATCGAACCAGTGTGCGGTTGGTCATGTAGTTAATGGTGGCTGTCGGGGTGAATGAAGGCCACTTGTGTTGCTTATAAATAAAGGCTGAGGCATTCATTTTTCATATTCTTATTGCTTGTCTGAGAGAGATTCTGAAGAAGCTTTTCTTACTGCCGTTTCACCTTCGTCTTCGTCCCCCGAACCTTGTTTCTTTCTCGTTATTGTATCAATAATGGCAGGCATTTCTTCCCAAAACGTTCTTCCGCCGGATCTTCCGGCTAACTCACGGGTGACCGAGGGGCCATTTCCGGCGATGGGCTGTGCAGAACTGGTGGAGACCGGCGAAGCTCCGTCGGTTGACGAGATAGTATCTTTGCCCGGAGTTCCGATGACTGATTTCACCGCCGATGGTGGGGAGGATCAGGTGGATGAAGCCCCATTAATGGGGGAGATTGGGATGTCTCGACTGCGGGGACAGGGGGGTCATCCCCGGCTATGCTGACATCATTCTCGCTAGAAGCGAGGAGAGGGTCCACACCGACCGTAGGGGATACTGCGTCTTTTACGCCTACCCCTTTAAGTTGGGGTTTAAGCTCCCGCTCCCAATGCTGGTGGTTGATTTCTG